CCCACGGCACCCCTCAGCCGGGTGCTGCCAGGCGGGGGGGGGGGCGGGGGAACCGGGCCCGGGTTCGGGGGGCATGGTCTCCGGGCCCACCTGGGGAGTCGGGGCAACCTCCGCCCCCCCCCACACCCCGGCAATCCGCGCCCCAGCCAGGCCGCGCGCATTTCTCCGGCACCGAGGGAGCCGCGGGCCTGCGTCACCCGGGGACCCCGAGCCGCTGAGTCACGCGACATCAGCTGATGCGCGGAATCACGCACCTCCGCGACATCAGACCATTCAGGCGCCGGCATCCGGGGCCCGAGTGCGGGAGCGGCCGCCCCCCACACTCTTCCCCCGGGCCGGCCCGAGGCGCCTCGGGCCGGCCCGCTCAGGCGCATTGGGAGTTGCTCGACCGGGCCTGGGGGCGCAGGGGCCTTGCGCCGCCCTCATTCTTTGGCTCGGTTCCATGCCCGTTTGTGCGCGCCTCCGGCCCCCCCCCCTCCCGCCTCTGCGGGGGGGAAGGGCCCGGGGGGAACCTTGGATCGATCTGCGACCTGCCGGAGGGGGTCGGCCGCACCCGCCGAGCGGACTAGCACACCCTTGACAGCCAACCGATGGATCGGCTGCGCGGGGTTTCCGGCCGCGGCGGGGATACGTGTTTTCTTTTTTCCTCGGCCCGATTGCTTAGCCAGGGGCGAGCCCCCCCCCCCCCCCCCCCCCCCCCCTGGCCAGCGCACCCGCCACACTCTGGCGCAGGCGGCCCGGGCGCGGAAAGAGGCCCGACCGCTGGCGCGCCCTGGCCCCCCCCCTCCCTGGGGCCGTACGTTCACCGGCTTCCCCCCTGGGGGGAGGTTGGGGGGCAGGGGGGACCTGTGCACTAGTCGTCCCTTCCCCCCCCCCCCCCCCCCCTTCCCCCCCGCTCCCCCCTACTCTCCCCATCTCGCTTGTCCACCCTCCCCCGCCCCCCCCGCAACTTCCCGCCCGCTTTGCGCCGCACCCCGCGCCCCCCCCCCCCCCCCCCCCCCCCCCCCCCCCCCCCCGCCCCCTCCTCTTTCTCCCTCTCGGCTGTTTTACATGTGCCCCTTTCCCGCCTCTTTTTATGCCCCCCTCCGTCCCTCTCTCTCTCTCTCTCTCCTTACATTCCCATCCATGCATTTGGTGTTCCTGACCTTCCTCTCCCTCAACCCCACCAAAGTGTCTCGCTGCCGGTGCAAATTCTGGCCTTCTCGCCGGATGGGCATCTGCTGGCCACGGCCGATGCGCGGAGCAACCTCGTGCGTATCTGGCACAGTGCCGCCGGCGGGCCGCTGCTCGATTCGCATGACGGGCCAGAGCCGCACCTGCGCATGGACTGCGTCCTCCTGCGACATCCGCAAGCCATCCGGTCATTGAGCTGGCGCGGGGGATGGTGCGTGGCATGCTCCGGCCTCTTGGTGCGAGGCCCCATCGCCGGTGCCCGCCCGATCTCGACTGACCCCGGCGTCCCTCTCCTCCCCGCTTCCCGCGCTTCTTTTGTGCAGCCCCCCCGGCATCAACACACTGTTGACCGACTGCATGGACAATGTTTGGCGCCTGTGGGCCGAGGCCCCAAGCCCCTCGGCGCCAGGGCAATACTCCATCAGCCTGGCTCCCCGGCTGTATCTGGCCGCCTCGGAGGTGCATTCACACTTTGTCCCCCCCCCCCCCCCCCCCCCCC